AAACCCCCACCGCCCACCATGAAAGCTGGAACGCCCGCTAGTGGGCGGTAGGGACCAGGTTGACTACCACTGATCTAAATTGATGTTACTATTCTACTTGAATGATGCCGAAATGTTTTCCATGGCAGGTGTAATATTAAGTTACTGATAGGAAAAATGGTTATATGCAACTTTGTACTTGATAGTACTCAACATATATGTTGAATAAAGAATTCACTTTAAAAACTGCTGTCAACACCCCCCGCTTCCAGGATAAAAAGGCAGTTGTACAAGATATAACACAGCCAATTGTAGCTCAAACACTGCTGTTTCCTTACTTGGAAACACCCTCTGTACTGGCCTTTAGAGCCTGAACTCCTTTTCCTTCCATGTATTGCAAGCCAGAATGAAAAGGCTTTGCTGTCATGACAACACTTGAACGATTGGATCCTGGAATGGACAGTGAAACAGGACAGGAAGCAGAACGGCCACGCATATCATTAGCAAGTTTGACAGTATCAAATATACGTTTCTGTTGAACCCTGGGAGGGAAAAAGAGAAAGGGACAATGAATACAAAAGGGTTTTGCAAATCTCTTCTGCATGATAAAAAATCTCTCCCCCGTTGCTGAAACAACACCCATATCAGAAGAGGTGGACCAGTAACGGACTGGGTGATGCCAAAGACCCTGCATGCTTTTGAAAGCAGAACAGGAGCAATGCATACAAAGTGATGCATGTATTTCTCCTTTCCCCACCTCATTTTGATTGGCAGGTTTTATATCACCCATTTGTTTGCGTTATGGGAGTTATAGAAACAAGCTCACTTTGTGTACAGAGAGACAATGGGTGCTATGTGGAAGGGATTTAAGTTAGAGCTCCTTCAATTGGATCTTTTTAAAGTCAACCTGTGAACTGAGAAGTTATTGTGTAATATATCCGAGTGCCAAGAAAGTTTAAGAAAATTATTGCAAATGTTTTCCTAATATGCAGTAAAAGATACCAAAAATGACTTCACAATGTTCTAATGGGAGTCATATGGAGGGCAATTAGCTTATATGACTGAAAAAAGTTGTGAAAATAAAAACGTAGCTGGTAGCTTTTCTAGTGAAAGAAAACCAGCCTTCTAATTACTGGAATGTATATGTTCTTATCTTAGAATATTATGAAATAATATTTCAAAGTTTAGCATGAATTAAACATAAAAGTTCTGAAGCGCTAGTCAAGGATTTAATTTTAGCTTGTGACCCGACAAATGCGCGCACGACAAAAGCGCGCCAACGAAACCGTGCCCACAAAAGCACGATTTAAGTTAAGGTAAGGGTTAGGTTCAGGGTTAGTTTAGGGTTAGGTTTAGGATTAGGGTTATTCGGTTGTTATTACTTGTTTGTTAAAGGCGCTCTTTTGTCGGCGCGCTATTGTTGTCACGCTTCTACACTCATTCGTCGATGTGATTTCGAACTCACGGTTTTCTCGCCACGCTTTTGTCGGCGC